GAGTTGCTCACATTTGGCTTTTCCAAGGCGCTGACTGTGGAGATGGTTAAGCAGTTTAGCGGTTGAGTCGCTGGTACAAAAACAAACCTACAGATTTCTGATCCAGAACACAGACCAAAACAACACGCTATAGAGAAACAACCCAGCTGGAGGCAAGTGTACATGCTGTCGCGTTGCACACCCCCAATGTTTACTTACAAAGCAAGACAAGTAGGACTGCCATCTCTCCAGGTTTTCTTCAACATGTACTTTTCATGCCCAGAAATTGTCCTCGAATCACATTTTTGGTGGGAGGGAGGTGTAAAGTGGACGTGCGTGCAGAACCTGTGGACAGCAGCCTCCTCCAGCTCATCTGCCAAGAGGTGAAACACAGGTCTGCATGGGAGGGCTTGTCCACCTCTGCTGTGGGCTCTGAGATATCCAAGACAACCGTGGATTTTCTGCACCTGCTCTGTGGCTTTCCTCCCAGAGAGCACACCTATCATCCCATCCAGGGGACCTCAATTGTCAGTGCAGAAAAAAAACACCTTTCCAGGGTCTCTGCAGCTTCACACAGCCGCCCTGCACACCACAGTCCACAGGCTGCAGCACTGCACTGAGCTGGGTCAGTGCCCCTGAAATCTATGAGACCATTTACAAGTTTTGAACAGGACCGGTCCAAGGATTGTGAGCACTAGCAAGGGGAGGAAAGTGGTGGCAAAAATGCCCCAAAAAGAGGAATTTCTCCTAAAGGCTGAGGAACTTGGTATCGGTACCTGGAGCTGCATACTGAAGCCTCTGCTTTTTACAGCTTTTTACAGCCTGAATTTTTCTGCTCTCCACACCCACCTTATTAGGGAAAAAGCTCTTTTTTCCCCAAGAGAAGAGGTGGTTTGATTCTCACTCCAGCAGGGCTATACAAGTCACAACGCAAGGAAGATGAAAGCCCTTCACTTTGTAAAAATGCCTCTGTATCCTCTCAGAGCTGAAACAGGGTGGATGTTAATAACCCCATTTCCAAAACCCCACTGACATTCATTTGAGCTATTTGTCCGAGGGCTTAAAGTCCTCTAGACCTACAGCTCCAGGGCAACAGGTTCCTAATTACCTAGGTCAGAGCATCATCACCGAAAGATTAGCAAAGCATTGGGAGGTGACTGAGGCTATGTTACAGATCATGATGGTGAGAAGAGGTGATAATTCACCCAGTGTGCCCAGTTTGGAGAGGATGTCTGTGAGATGCCCATAAGCCCACGGCCACACGAGGTACGGCTGCAGCATTCTAAACACACATGTGGCAGAGCAGCTCGTTTCATCATGTAAGTCCTGATGCAGCCACAAGGCATAAAGCCACAAATAGTAATTACAAAGAGAACTGGTTTTAAGACTTGTAGCAATAGTTTAGTGGGTTTTTTGTCATTCCCTCCTCCCTTCTTTACAGCGAAGGCGCTGGGGAGTCAGCCATGTTCCCAGTCTCTGACCTGCCCAGGTAAAAGCCTGCCCTATGCAGGAGAGCTCAGGAAAAGCAGGGCAGGGCAGGCTGGCCCACCCTTGCTTCCTCTCTGCCCAGCAAACCCAGGGAGACGCAGCCCCGCTCACACCCCACTGCTGGTGTTGGTACCTGCAGTGCTGCCAGCCCTACAGCCGGGAGCGTGAGATGCTGCTCCCATCCCGTTTCAATGGCCTTGGCACCCGCAGTTCCCCGGGCTGGCCTGGGGGTGGGTTTGCAAAGGCACTGGTACCGGTGCCTAGGGCGAGGAGGAGCTTGCAGCCAGCTGCTGCCCTCCTGGAAGAGATAAGGAGGCTTGTTCAAGGGGCTGAATACCCAAAGGCTGGGTACTTTCCTTAGTGAGGATCCTGCTCCAAGACACATCACTGGAAAACCTTAGCAGCTATGTGTGCTTTGGGGAAAGGCCGTGACCTGAGCCTTGCCCAGCTGGCCTGCTGTGGCAATTCCCAGTTAGGGGTCACGGCTCATCCTCCCCTCATGTGGCTAGCTTGATTCACGGGGGGAGCTGATGCCCCTTTCATCCAGTGCCTGCTTTTTCCAGTACTGCTGCATGCGCTGGCCCACGTGCAAAAGCAATGTTAACAGAAATCCACTTTCACAAAATCCTCGGGTTTCCACTGCCACAGCTGCTGCAGAAATCCCTCTGCACTTCACATGGGAGGGCTTTTAGGCTCTAGAAAGCAGTGATAACCCACAATAGCAGCATGACATTTACCCAAATAAACAACTATCCATACTCTCCTGGCCACATCCCCACAATTAGCATTTGTAAGGGAAGCTGGGATTTTTAGGGACAATTTCCTCCTGCTTCTATACCCCCAGAAAGTACTTTAGTGTAACATATTGACTCTTCTCTTGGGTTCACTTATAGGATGGGATGAGAGACCCTAAAGCACTTCAGCAATGCCCTCTGCTGTCCCCACGTGCAGAAACACCTGTTGATAAATCACTGCTGCCCTTCAGTAAAAAAAATCCCCAAAGTAACACGTATGAAGAGGAAGTAAATGCATATATATTAAAGGTCTAAATTAAAGGTTTCCCCAAAAAGACACAGCTCAGCAGAGCCAAAGGGCCACAGAAGAACACCTCCCAGACCTGTTGGCCACCTCTAGCCCGGTGTATAAACTTGCTGTGGGTGTTGCGGCACAAGGGGTGGCAGAGAACCACCGCATCGGCTCCCACCCCGCCATCACTCATTAGCCCAGCCTTCACTGCAGGGAAAAACCTGCTCCCCACTTTGCTCCAATACTCCAGGAAAACCCTTTGCTCATGAATCTTGTACTTTGTCCATTCAGTGGCTGCTTGTGGTATTTGGCAAGTGAGTTTTGGAAGAGCAGAGCAGGCGTATCTGTGGTGGTGAGAAGGGGGCTCAGGGTGAGCATCACAAAATGCCACATGCCCCAGGATGTAGAGCCAGCGTCACCACACAAAAATTCTAGTGCTTTAACAGCAGCTGTGCAAGGAGGTAGTGCTGTTTTATGAATATATGCCATTTATACCTGAACTAGCCAGTTTTATACCTGACCTCGCTGTTCAGGCAGGGTTCCCCAGGAGCTCAAGGAAGCAGAGGGGCAAGAGGGCAGCAGTGCCCATCCAGGCACCAGGCAGAGCTGAGCATCATTCAACAGGCACAAAATGTTCCCAGCAAAAGCCTTTTTATTCCACTAGATGGTGCCCACGCCTTGTTTATGGATGTTGCTTAATGGCATGGTCAAGGATGCAGTCAGGACTGGGAATGGAGATGGCTGGGCACCACACCGGGGTCCCCATGGGCTGCAAACATGCCATTCCCAGCCCTGCCAGCGGCAAGACCCCAAAACCCACCCTCTTCATTTGCCAGGCAACTGCATATGCCAAGCCCAAGCTCCCTGAACCATCGCTGTGGTCCGTCAGACTTGGAGCGTGACATGTCATGGCAATTCTGGGGGCAAGCTGCCCAGCCCAGGCTACCAGCAGCCCTGAAGCCCCTTTTGCTCTGAGCCGGGTGGGCTGGCACAGGAGGTCCCTGACCTTTTGTGGGTCTTGTGGATGCTGGCCCACACCTGGGAAGCTGCAGGCAAACCCCTGCCCCAGGCTGCTTAAACCTCCATGTCTCTGCATCATTGGCACCAAGGCTGCCCGGCATGATTCCCCTGGAAGCACCGGGGCCTGGTGACCTGGTGTGGGGCATAGTGGGTATGTACATTTTTGATCCTTTCTGCTGGAGAGCACAAGTTCTAGCAAGGCAGAGTGCTGGCAGCTGGTGCTGCTCAAAACACGAGTGAGATAAGCAGTATTATCCCAGCATCAATCACCCATGCACAATCCCTAAGAACCAAGTCTATGGCCTGAAATGGGACCTGCCCCTTCCCTGCCTGCGGCTGCGCAGATGTCAGGGGAGCAGGCGCTCTGTGGGTACACCGCTGACATCGTAGCTGCTCCTGCCCTCTCTTCCCACATGGGCACAGAGCCGGTGGGGAGTCCCCTCCCATGCGCGTCTAGGGTGGCACCTCTCCCCTCTCCGATGCTGTTCCCACTGTGCCTTTTGCTCCAGTGTGCTGCTGAGCATGCCCATTTTAGCAGCTTCTCGGACAGAAAAAGCAACCTGCAATTGTATAACCAGTGATTAACTCTGGGCAGCATGGCTCCAGCACGTCGAAGCCCAGCCTGGTTTGCGTGTGGGGGCCGGTGGTGGGAATGGCGGCAGCAAGGCCAGGGCATTACGGTGCTGTTGGAAGGGCATGGGGCCGGCAAGTGCCCCAGCAGTGTGCTGGAGGGCATGATGGGGATTTCTTGCTGTGGGAGGGATGAGCTAATGGGGGTGATGCTCTGTGGGGCTCCCCAGTAAGGACAAACTGCCTGGGGAGGTGGGTGGCTCTGGGCAGGAGCTGGTGGGGTTTGGTACCCCAAGCAAGGGATGTGCAGGGCCAGTTGGCCAGATTGCAGCCCCAGAGGTGATGGCTGGGCCAGGGATGTGCTGAGGACAGAAATCCCTCCGTGCCTGGGGACCAGCCCCTCCACAGCATGCTGCTCGCGGCAAAGCCTGAAGTCCCGCTGCAAACATCAAAGTCAGCAGAGCTTTAGGTACAGAAATGCCTTTATTTCTCCACTAGGCTGGAAGTGAAACTGCAAGGACAGCGGCTTTTTCTCACTGTTTATTTACTCACTTTGCGTCAGTGCATGAACAATGCTACCCTATGCTGTGTAGCATGATTGCTGTTACATGGCTCTCTAGCACAGCAAACCCATGCATCACTGTCGCAGTGCTGGACGCAGCCCCCCTCAAATTAACAGCAGGATCGCATGAACCAGTGATTTTTGGCTCCTGGGCTGCGAAGCACCACGCAGCCCCCAGGAATGTGCAGGGTGTCCCTCACCCAGGCAAGAGCAGTGCCTGCAGCAGGGATGCTGGGGGGGATGACATGTGGACCCCCCCCAAATCCACCACTGGAGCCCTCCGGGGTGGATACTGGCAGGCCTTCAGAAGGCTCCCTGGCTCCAGCGGCTGTGGGGGTGACCTGAGGCTCCCCACCCTGACGGCTGCAGTCCCGTCTGCCGGCTGTCGCTGTGGCTGCCCTGCTCCCCCTCAGAGGACTGGCTGCTGTCGGAACTCCTGAGGCTGGTGTAGGGGCCACGGGGGCCACCCCCTGTCCCGCCAAGGGCATAAAAGGCCCGTTCA